TACTGATGTAGCATGATACACCGTCTGGGTTTGGTTTGTTTTGCAAATTTTTTGTCGAGTGTATCTGTCATTTCTTTTGTGCTATTCGACTTTCAAATATCTCTATATGATTTCTGTTTACCGTATGTTTTGGTCAAGTTATATTCACCTTGGAAAATGTGGTGGCATTTTGTTGTACACAGTTATTTCGTTAAACATGTATCGCAACGTAAGTGTAATGACAATTATTTATTCACAGTTTGAGTATACTGTTTTCATGATTTGCAAATAATATTTCAATATTTATCATATGATTAAACAAATGAAAAATATTTATACATATTGTTGACAGTGCAGTTAATTTATTCATAATTTATTGGAAGCAAGATTGTATAAAATTAAGTAATGCAGTCTATTTTATTATATACAAATAAATTTGGGTTACGTAATATGTTATACAAATAAGTTGTTATATTTTATTATTTTATTATATATATATAAATTAGAATTGTGTATTTATCACAAATATTTTGTTCTTAGTAATAACATGCCAATTTTCCTTTGTATAATATATTAAAAGCAAAATTGTATATAAGTAATGAGCTTTTTATACAAATAAGTTAAAAAATTCCTTTCATTACACACAAACAATTGATATCACAATTGTATTATGTACTGATAAAGAAGAATCGTTTAATTACATATAATTTATTTATATCAATTGCACAAACAACGCCCTTTAATGCAAGAAACTAAAATAATCGATTCGTACATTTTGCACTCAGTGTTGCACAAGTAATACGCCAGCACTGAGATAATAATACACAGAGACACTATTTTAACATGTATTTGAGTAAACCGTGTAATTCGTGTATGGTCGGATCCATGGCACTACGTCCCGGTGGCACTATGTAGAAATTACTTATTGGGTTATGTTTTTTTAATATTGTAGGTTTAATATGGGTCCCATTTCCTATACAAATATTTAAATTCTGGGTAGAAATATCTGCAATATTTGAGCTGTACAGGATACTTTTTTTTATTAAAAATTGATCCATATGCAAGACCTGAATCCCCGTCCGAATTCTACTGAATGTCAGCAGCTGTGTCTGATTTTGGGGCCCTTATTTGGTATAAACATGGGTTTAAAAAATTGTACTTTGGTATAAATGGAGTATGGATTTTACCAAAACATATAAAAATGCACACACTATTGAAAGCTCAGTGGCACCCCTCTACCCAGTTTTAGGTCTGGTGTCCCCGGACACTACTTATATCGTTAAACATACTGCACCCACTATCAACCATGCATTTGATTAGATTAATGAAGAAAAGTGTCAAGGTCATGTTTTAAAAAAAAAACATAATTTCGCAGCCTGAAACAAAATTCTTAGTAAAGTGAACCATCGTCCAGGATGTGAAATAATCGTCTTACTATAAGTACTACTACGTTCACGACCCCACCTCACAGTTAAAAAGTAGAATTGGCCCAGATCCCTCAATATTTGAAATAATGAGCTCAGTCTTTAGAACAAAGTCGAACGAGTTGACAACGGACAAGTCGAGTGAAAACCCAAGTGACATCTGCTCCACCGCACTGGAGACTGAAGACACCACCGTAACTACCTCCAATGCTGACGATGAGGACACCACTATACTGTCACTGGAGGCTGACGACACAACATCAACATACAGGATGAGCATGTCGAAATGAAAAATATCGCCAGCGAAGTCTGCAATATCTGGCAACGCTTGCGGTGAAGCTAATAACACGAGGCTCGTCGACCTGGATATATTGATTACCAATCTGGCTGACCACTGTAAATGTTCTCGGTGTAAAAAGGGAAAAATAAATATCCATGAAGAATCTCGTTATGGCTGGGAATCTCACTTTAGTCTCCGGTGCACATGCGGCCTTTCGAACATAGCACATGCAAGCGGATTGGCTAAGAATACGAGGTAGTCAAAAATAGACCAATCAGGTCCACTGTGTCATGTGGGACGGCAGACTGACTTTCAAATTTCAGTGACGCATCGGAGGTTCGTAGACAAAGCAGTTACATGTACATTCTTAGCTCTTGGAAATGAAAACTGTTTTGTGCTGGTAATAATTTTATAACAATCGTACTGCAAGTTGACAAAAATAAACTAAACGAAACTCCGATTGTAACGAGTTATAGAGCAAAAACGACGACCTGTAATTCACGGCAGTACTGTCGGCAAGCTTGACTGACTTGCTTCCAAGCGGATTCAGTCAGCAAATAGTAGGCCCTTTTTTACTTCAATTACGATTTTTAATTGATATTCAACAACAAAAGTGTCATCGCCGATATTTAGTAAAAATAAAAAGCGTAGCTTTACCG